TCTGTATGCGCTAAGGGTCCTGTATGTGTGTACACACTTAGTCCTGTGCACTTGTATGCGCTGAGGGTCCTGTATGTGTGTGCACACTTAGTCCTGTGCACTTGTATGCGCTGAGGGTCCTGTATGTGTGTACACACTTAGTCCTGTGCACTTGTATGCGCTGAGGGTCCTGTATGTGTGTGCACACTTAGTCCTGTGCACTTGTATGCGTTAAGGGGTCCTGTATGTGTGTACACACTTAGTCCTGTGCACTTGTATGCGTTAAGGGGTCCTGTATGTGTGTACACACTTAGTCCTGTGCACTTGTATGCGCTGAGGGTCCTGTATGTGTGTACACACTTAGTCCTGTGCACTTGTATGCGCTGAGGGTCCTGTATGTGTGTGCACACTTAGTCCTGTGCACTTGTATGCGCTGTGGGTCCTGTATGTTTGTAACACTTAGACCTGTGCACTTGTATGCGCTGAGGGTCCTGTATGTTTGTAACACTTAGTCCTGTGCACTTGTATGTGCTGAGGGTCCTGTATGTGTGTACACACTTAGTCCTGTGCACTTGTATGCGCTGAGGGTCCTGTATGTGTGTACACACTTAGTCCTGTGCACTTGTATGCGCTGAGGGTCCTGTATACGCTCAGTCCTATTCACTAGTACACCCTACAGGTCCCGTTGAGCACGCCTGTATACAGAGAGTTCTGTATGCTGCCATACACTGAAAGTCTCACATGCGTGTATAAGTGTGTGCACGCGCTGAGAGCCCTAGGCACTTATATACACTGAAAGTTCTGTATGTTTGTATAATCGGGCAGCTCTTTTATGATTGAATACGCTGGTATGCGCTGGGAGTCGCTGGTATGCGCTGGGAGTCGCTGGTATGCGCTGGGAGTCGCTGGTATGCGCTGGGAGTCGCTGGTATGCGCTGGGAGTCGCTGTTATGCGCTGGGAGTCGCTGGCATGCGCTGAGAGTCGCTGGCATGCGCTGGGAGTCGCTGTTATGCGCTGGGAGTCGCTGGTATGCGCTGGGAGTCGCTGTTATGCGCTGGGAGTCGCTGGTATGCGCTGGGAGTCGCTGGTATGCGCTGGGAGTCGCTGGGAGTCGCTGGTATGCGCTGGGAGTCGCTGGTATGCGCTGGTATGCGCTGGGAGTCGCTGGTATGCGCTGGGAGTCGCTGGTATGCGCTGGGAGTCGCTGGTATGCGCTGGGAGTCGCTGGTATGCGCTGGGAGTCGCTGGTAGTGTAGTTATAGTAAGTTTTATTATTGTTTAACTTTTATATCTAATATCGTTGTATTTTAAAAAATTGTTGTATTAATGATATCGTTGTATTGATAATAGTTGTATTAATGAGTTATTAATATTGTTGTATTAATAGCCCTTGTATTAATAATAGCGCTGTATTAATAATATTCTTGTATTATTATTGGGGTATTAATAAATATTCTTGTATTATTAATTTTGCTGTATTAATATTGTATTAATAATTATTAATATTGTAGTATTAATAGTATCGTTGTATTAATATTATTGCATTAATAATAGCTTTGTATTAATAACTTTGTTGTATTATTTGCATTAATAATATTGTATAATTACAAATATTCTTCAATTATTAATATTGTTGTATTAATAGAATTGTTGTATTTTTAAGTGATGTTCGCAGTTCACTGGTTGAACACCTCCAATATTACCAATCAGCTATTTCTAGTTGATAATTGTTACAAGCATCACTAACTACCTTCCCATAGTTGTTGATAAGGAAGTTAACTCAACAGGCACTTCACTTCTTGTTCAGAACTTGTATCAAACTTCACATCAGTTGTTTTCACCTTAGTTCAAGACGCGTAGTGAGCACTGCTATTGGTGGCATCCTGGTGAGGGAGAGCCAGTGTTGGGGGGAGTGAGGGAGAGCCAGTGTTGGGGGGAGTGAGGGAGAGAGAGAGGAGTACGTGATGCCGACTCGCTGGGTCAGCCAGGACTGGTGGTGGTGGTGTCGTCCGCCAGCCTCCGGGAGATGGTGGTGGTGATGGTGGTGGTGGTGGTGGTGGTAGGGGGGAAAAGGTGGTGGTGGTGGTAGGGGGGGAAGGTGGTGGTGGTGGTGATGGCAATGGTGGATCTTTGTACGTGTCTGGCCACCATACAGCAGCACACCTGGACATACACAGGGAAGGAACCGACTACACACAGAGATCACAATATCGTATATATCAAATGAACAAATCCACAAGGGGCCGTGATGAGGGTTCGAATTTACGCACGGGATGTTCCCAGACGCACCTTAGTCAACTGTACTGCTACATGGTCAAAAGAATTGCAACCTGGCGTGTGCTACTGGCCTCACTAGGACCCCGCACGGAACATCCCGTGTGTAAGTTCGAACCCTAATAAAGGCCCTTGTGGATTTGTTCAAGGAACCGAATTTTGTAAATAAAGACGTCAAATATAAATCCAAAATTAGTAAGAATAAACATAAATTTATATAGCAGTATATATCTTCCCAGGACGCTGGCCCTCCACCTGGGACAGTAAACATTTATCTATTGCATGAAAAACAAACAGAAAAGAGAAAATACAACAGCAAATACAATGCTGAAAAGCTATTTGAAGTGATTGAAAAAACCGTCCATAAGAAAAAGGTGAACTTACTGCCGGACTTTGAAATTAATTTAACTCTGGAAACTTGTGGCGCTGCCCACAATTTTTTTTGGCCAAAGCGGCAACTTGATTTTTATAGTGTATATTGATTTTACAGATCCTGAAAGGTTTAAAAACATTGGTATATTTGTGAGGGGAATACTGAATGTTCATACCTCCGCCCCCCCCCCCCCTATCCTTCACTCTCGTGTGTGTGTGTGTGTGTGTGTGTGTGTGTGTGTGTGTGTGTGTGTGTGTGTGTGTGTGTGTGTGTGTGTGTGTGTGATTACCTAAGTTTAATTACCTAAGTGTAGTTACAGGATGAGAGCTACGCTCCTGGTGTCCCGTCTTCCCAGCACTCTGTCATATAACGCTTTGAAACTACTGACGGTCTTGGCCTCCACCACCTTCTCACCTAACTTGTTCCAAGCGTCTACCACTCTGTTTGCGAAAGTGAATTTTCTTATATTTCTTCGGCATCTGTGTTTAGCTAGTTTAAATCTATGACCTTTTGTTCTTAAAGTTCCAGGTCTCAGGAAATCTTCCCTATCGATTTCATCAATTCCTGTTACTATTTTGTATGTAGTGATCATATCACCTCTTTTTCTTCTGTCTTCTAGTTTTGGGGGAGGGTCGTTATAGTTCCTATATTTCTTCAAGTGTGTCACTGAGGCCAACCCTAACTGGCCTATGACACTCCCATACCCCCCTACATTTCATATGTAAAAGTTGTGTGTGACTAGCCCCAAGCATCTGGCCTCCTACTGTGGACAGACATCTTGTTTTATAGATATAGATTGTGCAACATAATTGTAGCCAAGCCTAAGGGAGCAGAGGCAACATAAAGACATATGCTGATTATATAGTGACGACTCACAAGCATGTGGGACTGCTCTGCATGGTGGTGACAGGATAGATATCGAGTAGTGTATATAAGTCTCATGGTAAATGGAGTAGTGTCACGATAGATGGAGCAGTGTAGATTAGTGTCACGGATAGAAAATGGAGCAGTATAAATTAGTATGATAGATGTGTAGATTAGTGTCATGATAGATGTAGTAGTGTAGATTAGTGAAATAGATGGAGTAGTGTAGATTAGGCTCATGGTAGATGGTATAGTGTACATTCCACTTTATTCCACGTTGCTATAGAGACGGAGGCTGTGCTTACCAATGTACCCCAACTTCCTGTACTTCCCCCCCCCCCCCAAGATGCAACCCTTCAACAGCTGCCTACCTCCCGGATACCCATTTACTACTAGGTGAGCACAGGGATTAAGTGAAGGAAAACGTGTCCAACCGTTTCTGTATTGCCCGGGAATTGGCAAGAGATTCAAGGACGTAGACTACTGTGCTACAGGACCCCATTTATCTCGTATCTATGATGCTTATTGAATTTCTGTGAATAGCTCTCAAGATGCTTGTACAAAATCCATTGCATATGTGATCTGACTCTTGAAAATAAACGTCAGATGAAACCCAAATTAAATCAACAATTTCTATCGTTATTTTTTTTTGTGCCTATATATATATATATATATATATATATATATATATATATATATATATATATATATATATATATATATATATATATATATATATATATATATATAATAAATATATATATATAATATACCCTTCCCTACGCTGGTTCCTTAGTATAGGTATTGTTTCAAATTAAATAAAAAAAAATATTTAACTTATGAATGTTTGAAGCAAACTTTGGAGCTGTAATACTAATAATGATTTTAACTAACTGTAACACCAGAATTCGTTCATACATAATTTCTTTAGAGATGGAATTGGTCCATCTATCTCTGGCTTGGAGACAGAACGCCATAAGCGCCTCGTTTGTTTCACCCAACCTTGCTTTTTTTTTTTGCTTTTTTGCTCTTTTTGCATTTTTTTAGTTTTTTTTCGTTTTTTTTATTCCAGGCTACAAGGATTGCAGCAGCAAGACATAAGGCTAACTGTTCAGGGCGTGCAGGGCTTGTGTTAGCTAGTTAATAGGCAGTTGGCTCCCTATAATAACTTGAGTCCCTTTAGAGGTCTTTAACAAGTTTATTCATTGGCGTCAAAATCGAGCAGGTGAGTAAAGGGAATTATACATTTTTATTGTTAAATGTTGTATGTGTTTAGCTAATAGTTCTATGGCTTGGATATTTACATAATTTAAATTCACAAATTAGGTTAAACCACATGTTGGGTGGCTGCCTCACTATTATATTGTTATAAAATGTCATAGAAAAAAATCAGTTGAAGTATTTCCTTGACCTGAATAAAAGATAATTTATCTCTTGTCAAACATTAATTACTAAATATCGTACTATACACATAAATAATTATAATTTTGTGTTTAATGTTTTAACCCGGCGGACTAACAACAAACCAGACATTAGAGGGGGCATAGAAACTAGTTGAAGGATATTGACCTAGACCACTTCTATACAAGGTCAGATGTGACCCAGACACAAGGGAGCAACAGCTACAAGCTCAACAAGCCACAATGTAGGACAGAAAACAGGGGGAGATGGTTTCTCACCCACAGGGGGGTATAAATCCATAGAACCTCCTACCCGCTGAAGTCTTAAACACAAAAACTGCTGAATTCTAAAATTCAACTCGATAAAATCATTAGAACAAATGGGTGGGGGACATTTGACAAGTGGTAGGCTCCTGTCTCTGTCGAGGCCACTAGACATAGGCTGGCCCCTCAGGTAAATTCAGGTAAATGTAAAGAGTTTTCCTCCAGCCTAGGGTGGCACCGGGCGGCCGCTCCGAGGTTGATGCCCTGTACATACAGTATAACCAGATATTTTTATTTTATTGGTATGTACACCGAGGTGTGTGTTTTTGAGTTTCGTTTACTCTGTGGTAGCCTAATTCTTCTCAAGTAGAGTACAAAATCTGGTTCAATATTGACTCGGTTACATGTGCTTTCTTCAAATAGTGTCGTATAATTATTGCATCTTGTTTATAAAAGAGCTTACTCATGGCCTTTATGTTATCTGTTTATTTTTAAGCATTGGCCCCATTAAACCTAAATTATAATATTTTTGCCTGAAGTGATGTGCAAATTAGTGGCTTTAGGCATTGTACGTACTTGCTCTATCTAGAAATCCAATATTATGTTTGTAATTCAACTTGTATGTATGTACTTTTACCTGAATAAACATTTGATTTGATTTTACTCTTATGTTCCAGTCACTTTTCTAAATTCTGCCTTTGTATTTCCATTATTAATTATTTTTTTATTTTTTTTCCCCCTTAGAGCACACAATTCTGCCAAAAACCTCGACTGATACTACCAAACACTTGTGTCATTTTGCCATAAATCTGCTTTTATCTTATTTATATTTCATTTTAGGACATTTTCCTCATAAGTACGTAGTCAAGTCGTAGCAGAAGCCATGAAATATTGCAGCACAAGGGGACGGCAAACTGGACTGTCTTTTCAAGATGTCCTATTCTCAGGTTTGAGTAATTTATTAGTACTGCTACAGTATAATATTAAATGTATTTTGGACATATATATTATAGCATACAGTACCTGTATTGTGCTTTTGAGTGATAGGTGAGGGGATAAAATCCTTGTATATATTCCTTGGCAAGATACACAAGAAAGGCAGGAAACCATAAACATTTCTGACTTACATTTAGAGAACTAAGTAATAAGAAATATAATAGCAATCCAATAACAAAAAGGAACTAAAATATTGTTGATGTGCATATTATGTAATTTCTTGTTGTTGTTTCAGGATATGCAGAGGATGGTGGGTTGTATATGCCTGAAACAATCCCAGAACTAAGCCAAACAGATTTAAACAAGTGGTGTAGTTATTCATACCCTGAGCTGGTGTATGCAATTGCACGCAGGTTTATTGATGAGCAGGAAATTTCCAACAAAGATTTAGCCGGTAAGTTTGCGCCCATCGGCCACATCTTTAAGAGCATTTACTTGAGCTATTGCATTCGGTTGTCCCCTGAAGTAAGATCTGCCGTGTTCTTTGAACATGCATTATGACGGGCAAGATTATCCTAGGCACTTGCACTATAAGGAATGTTTCAAGCTGTTGCTGCACTCATTAAAGGTCTTGTGGAGGAGAAAGATCACAGATGATAAGCTCAATGTAGCACAGAGTAGCTTCTGTATGCTTCCTGCTTCATGAAGTGGAAAAGTGGAAATTACAAAGACTCTTGTCTCAAATAAATAATGTCTTTTGGCATTTTGGTGGCTGGGTTAGGTTTCCATGGTTTAATTTTGTGTCTTAAGCTCATTTTCTCTGCCAGGATAGCGAGTTCCCCTTGGCAGCATTCTGGTCCCATTTTTACAGTCTCGGCTGTTTTGTTTTCCTGCTTGAAAGGTTTTTCTTTCTTTCTTTTAGTTATTGGATAGTAGGCAGTGCTGCTTCACCATGGGAAGTCGGCTGTTGGGACGTCTTGGAAATGGAGAATTGAGCTTAACATAGTGAAATGTCAATTCTTAAGCATAGCCCACAATATTGATGGTGGGTTGTGATCCCACCTTGATCTACTAACTAGATACAATAAATGACAAAATCACTGGCAAAGATTCCTGTTATGGTGGGGATGAATGTCTCGACAACCTGGCAGGTGATAGTGTTGGTCAGATCAATAGAGGAGCTAGCTATTTGAGAATCCTAGGGTTATGCTCAGAAAGCAGTGTTTCACAAAATGATTCTCTATCTTGACCTCATTTTTTATTTTAGTTGTCTTGATGGCTGTCTCATATAGTCTTGCATTATTGGAATCAAAACTTGAAATCAGACTTTACATAAATATAAATAGTTTTCTGAGTATGACACCTGGATGCTTTTGTTTCCCTTAAGTCCTTGAGTTTCCTCTACACAGAATAATTTGTCAGTCAGAATGTAATTGGGCTTTAGGCTAGGGACTTGTGTTCCTTGTTGACTTGTAAACTGGGCTAGGGTGTTTACTCCTGGTGGTGTTAGGGGTAAGTGGTCATGTGGGAACTAGCAATTGGGTCATGGCACTACTTGACAGTCAGTGATGTCAAGCAGAGCTTGGAAAAACTTTTGAGTGTTTGATTAGGCCTATACTCTCAGGGTACGCATGAGCTGGTTTAATCTCTTCTCCAGTGCCTCTCTAGAACAAGTATCAACTGGCCGTGATGTTTGTAAAAGATCCCCACCTGCTGGTGCAAAATATTTGTCCTCCGACTGTCATGATGTGTTCAATGGGACATTTAGTGAGCTTGCCTTAGGAAGCATCAAAGTGTCTTGCTCAAAAATTAAGATTTCTTATTAACTCCAGTCATGTTTTTTCAGATGTCATCAATGGTAGCTTTACAAGATTCAGAATACCAGAAATTATTCGTATAGAGTATTTACCAGAGGGACTAAACATTGTGGAGCTCTTCCATGGACCAACTCTGGCATTCAAAGATTTGCCTCTATCTGTTGTGGGACGACTACTAAACTATTATCTCAGCAAGAGTGGAAAACATAGCACAATTCTCGTGGGTAAGGTTGTACAAATGTTTATAAAACCTGGTTTAAAAAACTAAAGCAGATTTTTCTTATTTATGACTGCAGAAAAAGACACACAAATATTTACTTTACATCTTGTAGCTTCCTTTAGCTTATACCTATTAGTTGTAACTTTTATATCCATATTTGTTGCTGGCCTACTGTAAGTAATGTTACAAGTCAAGAACACTGGGAATGGGCTAATTCTTGGTCATAGACAACATTTCTTTGTACACTGCTTAAGTCCTTCATTGCTTAACTAAGTAAATTTTAGTATAATTAAGCTTTTAGTTTCGTGATTTTTTTAAACTAAGACCATGGATTTTCCTATGCCAAAAACTTTGTTCAAAATTGTATATGCAAATTTGTAGAAACATGATTCGGTTAAAATTTAAAAAGATATGGTTTCATAGCAAGTTTCAGAATTACTGTACATTTCTGGGTGCTTGGGAAGAAGCATAATGCAGAAATAGAAGTGTGCAGAACACAGTATTTATCAGTACATTATTCACAAGGAAAAGGAATAGTGTTTGACCTCTGGGCACAACTATGAGAAGAGGAAGGTGGTCATCACGAGAGCAGCAGGTTATGCCAAGCACCAAGACAACAGCTTAGGCAGTTGAGACAACTTGCGTCTGACCGTACCAACCCTTGCACACACAACAGTTATGCATTGCCAAATTTGGCTTGACACCTGCTTGGAAAAGTGGCACACTACCGAATTTATAGATTCCAATCGTGTGCAAATGGAGGGTTGATAATATATTGTAAATCAATATTCTCTAATATTTAAAATCACTCTTGTATGATATTGGAACAGTATAAAAAATTATAATGAAATTTTGCATACCAAACCCTTTTTATATAGATTTTGTTGCCAATCCATTAGTTATGTCTATTTATACAAAAACAAAGGGGGTATTTTGTCAGTGTCATTTCAACTTTAGAACCCTCTATTATCAGAGGTTATAACGTAACCTATTATATTTATAAGATTACTATTATATGCTGCTTGCCATGTTGTAATACGTTAGGTCTAATACATACAGTCCCGGCAGGTGTAATACAGTCCACGGCAGGTGTAATACAGTCCCAACAGGTCTAATACAGTCCCGGCAGGTCTAATACAGTCCTGGCAGGTCTAATACAGTCCCGGCAGATCTAATACAATCCACGGCAGGTGTAATACAGTCCCGGCAGGTGTAATGCAGGTGAAATCACATTATCTGTAATACAGATATTGTGATTTCTCTATGTATAATTCTTGTTACTAAAATAGATTATGTCAGTCCTATTTTAAAAATACAGTAATTTTCAAATTGCTCTGGAAATTATATTTAAAGGAAAAAGGGATATTTTACTTGTATGTACAGTATTACTATAATTTTAGGTACATCAGGCGACACTGGTAGTGCAGCCATTGAAAGTGTGCGCGGGCAGGAGCACATGGACATCATTGTCCTCCTGCCTCATGGACGTTGTACACCCATCCAAGAATTGCAGATGACTACGGTTGTTGAACGTAATGTCCATGTTTTTTGTGGTAAGTTTTCTTTAATAATCATTGATGTGGTATCTGGCCTGGTTGAGACCAAAGTTACAGGATGAGCAAAATGTGACTTGAGAACTGTCAATTTCACTCAAATATGTACTAACATGTTGTTACCTCTTATTATTCAAGAATTTTTATCCTCTTTTTCTTTTTTGTCATTTTTTAAAAGTAGAAAAGATAGTAACAACAGTAATCAGGCTGTTGATTACATTTAGGGGAAAAAAGAGGTTTCTTAACATGGATGGCAAAATTTAATTTATTGTGAAAAGTGATGAAAGCTTGGGAATGAGAAACACATTGTTACAGTATAAACACACTGTTCTCATTGGGCTACTACAGTAATAAAGCTGATCATACTGGTATTAAAGTGCTATGGAGGTCATTCACTTAAAAAAACTGCAAAAGGCTCAACATTCTTAAAAAGCTTTAACCTCAACAAGGCCGCCTCTACAGCCATAAGATCACCAAGGAACACCCTACTGGTGTGCTCATTCACCCACCTCCTACTACCAGGGGGCAGCATACACCCATCCATCTCTCCTACTATGGAAGACAGTGAGGGTGGGGAGGAGGAGGAGGAGAGGTGTTATTGTTTGGAAGGGGAGTCCCTTTCCATTATGACATCAGACAGTGATGACTTCTCTGGATTACTCTCTCTCCTATGTTTTGCCTGCATACCACTAGGACCTGGTTGTGGCTCACTGCTTGTTTGTCTCACTCAGAACCTTTCCAGAGAGACTTGTTTTTTCTTTATGGTCCTCTCATGTGTTTTCTTAGGTTGAACCTTACCACTGACTTTCTTGGGACCCATGGCATGGTATATAATAATTACTTCTATGTTTAGAAACCAAGAAAACTGAAAAACAATTAAATTCTTTACAAAGTATTCAAGCACAATCATCACTAGGCGGGAGGCACTGGTAAACCGAAGGGCGGTCTTCCGTGCCACCAGGAACTACGCGCTTGGTTGATCCATACGTGTATCAACAAACTTGCAAAGTGAGGCAAAGCTCGTAAACCAATTCGAATTTTACGAAGAAATTTTTAGCTCGTAACCCGAAAACTTTGTGAAGAGGGATGTTCGGCAACCGAGGTTCCACTGTAATCTTATAGCCCAGTATTATTATTATAGTCTAGTATTATTATTATTATTATTGAATTTAATCAGATTGCTTAGTGCTGTAACAATGGTTATTTAGCACTAGATATTTGTTATAGACAGGTGTATAAAATTATTATGTGTGGCACTACTCTTGGTTTTGTCTCTTACTATGTTTCCTTTTATGGTTTACTTGTGCAGTTGAAGGAACCTCTGATGATCTGGATAAGCCTATCAAGCAGTGCTTCGCTGACAAGGAGCTGGTCTCGACGCATAATCTCATATCTATCAACTCCATCAACTGGGGTCGCATTTTAGTGCAAGTGGCTCATTATTTCTACATTTACTACCAGCTGTGTGGCAGTGTGGGTAACTCTGTCAATGTGGTGGTGCCAACTGGAGCTGCCGGCAACCTTACTGGTAAATGTTTCATTATGAAGACGTTAAAACAATTTCACATTTATTCATTATGAAGAAAGGCCACTACTAAAAATTATAATAATAATAATAATAGCTGTGAAACTGGTGAATAAGGAAAGAGTATGCCTCTTAAGGAATGAAGCGGTCTGGGGTGATGAATGACTTCTTTATATGTCAGTCATGTTGCCTTGAACCTAGGAAAGGTCTGGGGATGGGAGGAGAAGAACCTGGAGGTCATAGAGATAGTAGAGAAGGTCTTGGGGCAGGCCTAGGAAGGCTGGGGAGGACTGGATGTAAATGGGAGTAGGGAGGCCCCATGACTGGGGGAACTGCCCAGGGCTTGAGCACCCTTAATCTGTTCCTGCCATTGACTGCACATCTTGCAATGAAGAAATTCTATGCATTATGTATACCTCTTATGTATTTTAAGCACAAGGATACAGGGTACTGTGAAAATGATAAAGGGTAGTATGAATCTGACCACTTTCACTTGAAATAAAGCATGTTAAAGTATTTAAGCATTACAGAATTAGTAAGTGTAATATTTGATGTTAGAGTTCTATGCAAGGTAAGATTTAATGATAAGGTTATGTTGGTGTTTCAGAAAAATGAGAACTGAAAAAAATTAGCAGGTTAGGAGAGTTGATGAGTATCAAAAAGTGATGGTGGTGGTAACCTTAAGGTATACCCGAGTTTGATGTAGCTTCATTTACCACCACAGCTGCTGTAATCGATGTGCAGACCTTGTGAATGGGAATCATGGCCTTAGCTTTGGCAAAGTAAAGACCTACAAGGCAAAAATAGAAGATGGTTCCTTTTCTAGATACAGTATCTAAAAAGAAGTCACTCTAAGGAGTCAAAGAGGTCCCCAAAAAGTAGGAAAGTGCAGTCAAAGGGAACCAGACAGAGCATAGTTTAACATCACTAAACAAACTAAAGTGAAATTTACAACAACAAAAAATATAGTAAAATCCAAGGAATGTATAACTCTGGAAGCAAACAGATATAAATGTGAATTGACAATAATCAGATACCTCCTTTTATGTGTGGGAAGGGGTAGAAAACCAGACCAAGATAACCTCACTAGAAAAGCAAACTAAAAGGTTCACCTTCCCCATAGGAGAAATAGCCTGAAACCTCAAACCTGAAAGAGGGTAAACTACTGTTGAAGAGAGCAGGAACATTAAGTGCTAGAAATATTACATTTCTCTGTCTTGATTATATATAATAGTCAGGACAATATGTTTTCTTGACATGTTGTGTGCATGATCTGATACCATGACACACTGGAATCTAACCTGCATTGTACAGTGCATCAATGAAGATACTGTATAAAACAACTGTTACGTTTAAAGTATATTCTATACATGTTAAACTGCTTCACATTATTATTTGTTCTCATATTACTATTCATAAATATTTTCCAAAAACATTTGCAATGTACATTATAATGTTTGCTTATTGTGTGTCATTTTTCAGTTGTAAGCTAAAGTTTTATTAATGAGTGATTTATATCAACAGCTGGGTGCATAGCACAGAAAATGGGCCTTCCAATAACACTGGCAGCTGGAGTAAATGTTAATGATAGTGTAGCAAGAGTCATAAAGAAAGCTGACTTTTCACTCAAGGAGGAAGTTCTTCAGACTCTGGCTCCTGCCATGGATATACAAGTAAGAACACAAAGTATAGTTCATGATTCACTCAAATAAGATTGAGAAATTCAAGGGGACCATCATTGAAGTAATATTTGTATGCCTTTTACCAGTCAAAATTTAATTAGTTATATAATTATCAAGATCAGTTATACAAATCAGTAAATAGTTAATTATATTGTGCTGATTCATGCCAGAAAGATAGGAATGAGCTTTTGCAAAACATCATTGCCAAGTTTTTAAAAGCATCAAACTCCAAAATAAAAACCAACCTCAGGGTTTTGTTTTCAATATTTTGATTGTTTTCCCACAGCTCCAGTTCTTTCTAGCTTTATATTCCCCTACAGAAACTCATAAAAATGTGATAGAACACACTTCCAGCAAGTTCTGTAGAGGTGTGGTGCCGAGTGTCATTGGATAAAACTGGGAGACTGACTGAGCACATTCAACATCCTGCAAATGTGGACTATGTTAGCAGTAAAGCCTAAGAAACCAAAAGAGAAGCTATAACCAGTAACACAACAGAAGCGATCTGAAATAATTCCTTTAGGAGGCAGGCAATACACTAACTGTTGGAATGGATAAGTAGAGCTATGTCTTTTGGAAAAAAGAGATGTGCTGGACTGTAATCCAAGTACAGTAGCTGATATTTTCTGAACATAGATGTGAAGCCTAAATGTCATCAGTAGCCAGCACCTCTGATTGGTGTGGTGATATCTTTAGACAATGGCTCAGCTGGAGTAAAATCCAAAGAAAGTTCAAAGGAAACATCATTAGAGATTCCTCAGGATCATGAGAACTTGCAGGAAAAGCACATAGCAATGAAAAAACGTTCACACATTCAGCCAGATGCAGATAAAGTCAATAATATATTTGGGAAAGAATTAGCGAGTGTCCTGCACACGTCAGAGGTGATAAAATGTGAGGTAGAGCCAGTGAAGAGTAGCGTGACATAGGCACAATCAGAGAACATTGTATGAACATCAGAGGTCCATGGTTGTTCATTATCCTCCCAGCAAGCATAACAAATATTGCCATAACAAAAGTGAAAGTCTTTAAGAAAAACTGGATAGTTTTCTGCAAGAAATGCTGGACCAACCGGGCTGCAGTAAATATGTGGGCCTGCGGGCCGCTCCAAGCAACAGCCTTTTGGACCAAGCTCTCACAAGTCAAGCCTGGCTCAGAGCTGGGCTTGGGGAGTAGAACTCCCAGACCAACTAGGTGGTACAATCCAGGGATGGGGGGAGGGGGGGGAGGGAAGGGAACTATCAGGAGAAAGTGCCAAGCCATTACGACTATATAGCACTGGGAAGGGGTCAGGACAAGGATTTGGGAAGGGACGGGGGAAAGGAATGGTGCCCAACCACTTGGACAGACAGGGATTGAACGCCGACCTGCATGAAGCAAGACCGTCGCTCTACCGTCCAGTTGAGAGCTAGGGGGGAGAGCTAGGCTATCTAGCAATGTCATCTGGTGGCAGCCAATGGTAGTAACCTAAAGTAGTTTAAAATTTGCGTGAATTAGTCGTTTTGGGTTTTATGGAAAACTCTTTTTGTCTACATTCTGAATTAGATTGAGATTCTCCTATGCCATCCCAATACAGTATGAAGATCAGATGGAGACAATTTGAAAGGTTTTCTGCCTAGTCAGTGAGGAATATCGACCTGCTGATGCTATCCAGAGACGAATTGGATCTTGCCTTGGAGAGCAATGAAGTTAGATCTCTGAAATATTATTGTCAGACTACAGTACTGTACTGTACTGTAAGGTGCTTTGTATAGTATTTTAACTTTTGTACTGTATTCTTACAACCTTTCACATAAACATTGATTCAGTTAAGAAAACAGTAGGGACTGTTTCTCCTTTAGTTTCTCCTTCTCCTCTAGTTACCAGTGTAGATAAATTGATTTTGTAGATTCTTATTTTTTGGGTTATCAGACAAAAGTTTCCTGCTTAAGAGACTTTTTAAATATATATTTCTACTGCTGTGTAAATGTGTACAAAATTAGCATACTGTATTGTAATTCAGGTTCCGTATAATGTTGAGAGGCTGGTGTATCTGTATGCCAATGGAGACACAACAAGAGTTAAAGAAGTTATGGATACATTTGAAAAGAATAACAGCGTTGACTTACCACAGGACATAATGGAGGCCATGAGGACGGCCATTGTGGGTAAGATGTGCACTGCTTAACTGTTGTTAATTAATGTGTAGATATTTATACAGCATTTATGTATGCAGACATTTTAGTGCCTAGTACCATAGTTCTATAAAATCTTAATTTATTTTATGACATCTTGTAATTTCACAGAATTCTTTATTATCTGGACATAATTTGTCCTCTAAATTTTGGCAATTTTTGAAATCTAAAGTAATTTTTGGTACTAATGTTTGCAAAATCAATCTTTAATTAATGTGTCATTATGGTTCTCTGTAAAAATGTTTGGCCCAGCCTGGCTCTTAATACCTGGCGTACCATTGTGGAGAACATGAGAACTGTGTAATAAACATTATTTGTAATGCTAAAAAAAAAGGAAAACATTGACATTAGATTAATAATTTATAATGGATTTAAAAGGAAATTGGAGGTCCCAGAGAAAACTAAGCTTTAAACAGTATGTCAAATACTATACCATAATAGTATTAAACATAATACTGTACTGTATATCTATTCGAAATTGCCAATTTATGTAAATTTTGTTTAAATGCTATAAACCTGTACTTTCTTGTGCCCACAGAGTCATTTATAGTTGATGATGGCAAAATAACAGAAACCATGCAGAGAATACATGAAGAGCATAGATATATAGTGTGTCCACACACTGCAGTAGCTGCTGCTTATCACTACCAATGGTAAGAAGAAACCTCTTTTTTCCCATCTTATTCATCATAAAATATAAGTGCTCAGTCTTAACTGTGGTGCCAAGCATTTAGTTGTTATGCATTTCCATGTCTGATTTACTTACGTTTTACAATATATTTTTTCTTATGAGCAAATATCATACCACCGTTTGTTTCAATTTATGCAGTGCTCTTTTGAAAATTTAGTTCATACCATGTAAAATTCACACACAAGTTTGAATTAATTACTAAATCATTTATTTTTTGGCCACCACATTTTTCTGGAATTTTGTTTGTTATACAAAGTGATAAATATTGCCTACCTAGCAATAAATAGGTGCCCCAGTAAGGCAATCATTGTGGAATTGCATCCTGGGAGGGGTAAGTAGTATGATCTTGGGGAAGTCTTGATATCAGCTTTTAGGAGTGTACTTGTATGTATGAGTGTGTGTGTGTATATACATATATACACACACACACATACATACATGTATGTATGTGTTGTGTATATATGTATATATATATATAATATACTGTATATACAGTATATATATAATATATAAATAATATATATACATACACACACGTATATTGTTAAATGTGACCGAAACAGTAAGATTAATATTTTTAACACAAATTTTCTCAATATTTCTTATGTTTCTTTTCACTGCCGATTGTAATTGAAAAATCAAATATCCAAAATTCATTTTTATTTCTAGTCTGACGCGACGCCTGAACGCGTTTTGTAATAACTTATTAAGTTTACACACACACACACACACAACTGTAACCTGTAAACAGGCAAATCCGTCCATACTTGTACTTGCATTTGGGTGAGGTGATATGGTACAACAGTTTTGGGTGAGGTGAACAAACTTGTGACAAACACATGACGTCTGCAAGAGCAGTACATACATGTACTGTACGTACACGTACGTGCACTGTCCTGTACGTACACGTACGTGCACTGTCCTGTACGTACACGTACGTGCACTGTCCTGTACGTACACGTACGTGCACTGTCCTGTACGTACACGTACGTGCACTGTCCTGTACGTACACGTACGTGCACTGTCCTGTACGTACACGTACGTGCACTGTCCTGTACGTACACGTACGTGCACTGTCCTGTACGTACACGTACGTGCACTGTCCTGTACGTACACGTACGTGCACTGCCCTGTACGTACACGTACGTGCACTGCCCTGTACGTACACGTACGTGCACTGCCCTGTACGTACACGTACGTGCACTGCCCTGTACGTACACGTACGTGCACTGCCCTGTACGTACACGTACGTGCACTGTCCCCAGCAAAATGAATTGTGTTCATGTTAGTACAGTTAATACACATGTACAAATAAGACCTTTTATGGGACAAGCTGGTCATGGTAACCCACATATGGTTGTAGTGCTATGTTATGTAGTCAGATAAACTTATGTAGTAACCCTGAACTAGTTCTCAAGTCCTCAATGCCTGTGGTTCATGCCATCCTCTTAGCTAAACTTCACCACCAACAGCCAGCCCCAAACTACGTTGCTCATCCAAATTCTCGTACAGTACTTTGAAATCGTCATGTTTGTCACTGTACTGGTACTTACCACCAGTGTTCTCCCTATTGTTTAACTCTACAATCTGGTTCCTATTGCGTCTGTACATGTAATGTAATTTATGAGGAGAAAGTGCCAAGCCAATGTAACTATGGTATGAAAGATATCCACTGTTGACCTGTTCACACTGCCAAGTCCTATTCTTGCAAAGTGCAGGACATTTCACAATTCTTTAATTCATTATTTTTTAATTTTAAAATTAAATTGGGTTGAGAGATGTAGTCTAAAATTTTTGTTAATTTCCTTTTTTTTTCAGGTGAGTAGGTGGCTTTAAATACCATTAGGTATTTGTTAAAAAAGGAATGGGTCAGCCTGATAAATGTTTTAATAAACTAACATACCGTATTTACCATCTGTTCTAGGAAGCGAGATGTACCCCATGGTTATGTTGCTACCGCATCACCAGCCAAATTCCCAGATGCAGTGCAAAAGGCCAAGGCAGAGCCAGTGACTGAGGGAATCAAGCATCTCAAAGATCTCCCAAAAGAATTTCAATGGATGCGTAAGGGACAAGACTGGCACACTATTCTTCGTGCAAAAATTGAAGCTATATGTGTACAAAAAAAAAACATTTAAACAATGCTAAGGACTTAACAGGAAAAAGTTATATATGA